TAGGTACGATTTTAACTATGATTACGGATGATTTATTTTGCACACTTAGTTTCTTCTTAAACACATAAACAACAAAAGATTTTAATGGTTTGAAAAATTTGGTTAAGGAAATTAGCCGATGCCTTGGGCTTGGTTGTAAAGACAATATGAGTACCATCACATTATACTATAACATGCCTGCGATTCAATTCAATTCTTTTGTTTCATTACTGACATGACATTGAATTGAACATGTCATGACATTTAAAAAAAACTTATGTCATGGATACCAGATAGTTGATACACTACACATATATAACTTTAAATACATACATATTATAAATATAAATAACCATGACTTAAGTACAAACATTCGTGCTCATCACACAAATTAATCCCCCCAGCGAGAGTCGAACCCGCAACCACTGGCACAGCAAGTAACACTACAAACTGAACCAAACGTGTCGTCAAAAAAATGTAGCTACCTTTTAGTGAAATTAATTTCAAAACTTAATCATACCTAAGAATTAGATATTCGTAGGACCTAGCCAAATCAAGAGCAGGTCACAAAACAACAATGCTTATTCATTTAGAACAAAATTTTATAAATTGCACACGCAATACCCATCCAGGCTAAGGATTTATTTTAGCACGATTAGTGGAATCACGAAAGCAATTAATTTATATTTGCACGAATAGTTTTTTGCAATGGCTGCATTTTCAAGACTAGAATGATAAACGAGAAAGATTGCTGAAATGTTCATTACCAACATTTTCTTCATTTTAAAGCTAAAACGTCTATTAGGGAGCTATATCATCTCAATTATTCTACCTCTATTCGCGAAATACAAATTAAGGTTAATTAATAATTTTATTTTATCGAAGAGGATTGATATCAAGTTTCAAGTAATTCTGATCGTAAATATTTTTTTGGATTGTATTATAACGTGTTTCCCTTGGGAACTAGATAAGCTCCCGCGGTAAAATGTAGCCTACATCATTCTTCAGCCCTCCAACTATCTTATACATATCCACACAAAAAATCACGCCAATCCGTCACTCCGTTTCGACGTGAAAGAAAGACAAACAAACAAACAAACAAACAAACAAACAAACAAACACACTTTCACATTTATAATATTAGTTTGGGTAACAAAATGTGTTTAGCCTTTTATAACGTTCCACTGCTGGGCACGGGCCTATCTTTAGCGTGATGGGAATCATGCCACAGTTCATCGTGTTGATCAAGTGCGAGTTGGCGGACATCAGAGTCTTTCGGGAACTTGCTATGTTCTCACAGTTATGTAGGTATCTTCACGATGTTTTTCTTTATTGTGAGACAAATGGTAATCATGATGAGACTGATGCGCAAATGATAATATCAGAGATACGAGACTCGGGTTTTGAGCCCATTTCTAGTTTTCCCAAGCAAACGCGTTACACTTGGCTGATATCATTTGCTATCATATAAATTCAAAATACATAATAACATTTATGTCAAATCATTCAAATGCAAAACATGAAGACATAAAAGCATAATAGAATTTATTCGCAATAAAGCCATTAAAGTTGACCACAGACCTCAAAATAAATAAAAAAAAACAAAATATAAATAAGCCATGGTAATTAGCGATGCGTGACATCAGAAACCGCGTACTGGTATACTTATGTCGGTCAGACGTGTCGTTATTCTCATGGTTTAGGCAGATGGGAATTACGCCATTGATCCGTGGGTAAGTATATCATACTACTATTATAAATACGAAAGTTTGTATATGTGTATGTTTGTTACCCCTTTACGCTGAAACGACTGGACTGGATTTGGATGAAAGTTAGTACATAGATAAATAATGACCTGGAGTAACATATAGGCTATTGGTTAGTTCTAAGAATGCCTAGAGAGAAGCAGTTAGTCCTAGAGATGCACCCGAGCGAAACAAAGGCAAATCACCAATACAAACTATAAACCTAAGCCTTAGAAATACATTGTATACGTACGTACATCCATACTAATATTATAAATGTAAAACTGTATTTGTTTGTTTTTTTGTTTGTCCTTCTTTCACGTCGAAACCGAGTGACGGATTGGCGTGATTTTTTTGTGTGGATATAGTTGGAGGGCCGGAGAGTGACATAGGCTACTTTTTACCGCGGGAAATTATCTAATTCCCACGGGAAAAAAGTTATAATACAATCCAAAAAATGTTTATGTTCAAAATTACTTGAAACTCAGTATTAATGTTCAATAAAATTAAATAAATACGTGTTTTAGCATTTTTCGAAATTCATCCTATAACGGGGTAAAATATGGGATGAAAGTTTGTATGAAACTACCTTTTTAAAGATTTTTTGTAGTTTTAGCGCGAGCGAAGCCGCGGGTTCTGCTAGTATATTGTACTTTTATAGTGCCATATATTTATGGTGTAAGCTTGGAATCGAACGTATGCGAAATAGCACTCAAATAACGTCATAAAACATTTACAAGCCTATCTTATTAAAGCCAATTCTTTGAAATTGGTCTCAGTATTATATTTATTTATAAAATTCCGTTCTTCGTAATTATTCTTCTTTTAATGATCTTTTACTTATAACGTGGATGGTTCCTAGCCATAATTAGACCTTTTTTTGAGTTTTTTTTTATTTTTCGAAAGTCATGTGAAGTTCGCCAACCCGCACTTGACCAGCGTGGTGGACTATGGCCTGATCCCTCTCGTATTGAAAGGGAGGCCCGTGCATAGCCGTGGGACGTAAAAAAAGGGCTGAATACACACTCAGTACTTTTCGTTAAATGAATAAAACCTGCAATATTCTTAGGCTTAGGCTTCTAAATGTACTCCAAATGTCGTTAAGAAAAAATAGATCGATAAAAGATGAATTACTCGTTTTCATACAAACATTTCATAATCATCAAAAGAGTAAATATGTATAGGAAATAAGGTACCATATTATTATTTATAGTTTATCTAAAATACTATTTTGAATATAACAGTATATTTAAGCATTTGGGCCACAAATTATACCGATATTTATTCCAACATCGGTCGCTCACACCCAGCGTGACCTCATATGCGGTACAACAACATGCCGGACCCCAGTATAGGCTATTGAACTACTCGCATCACTAAATTTCTTGACTAATCTCTTATACATTTTTATATCGCAGTCTGTTAAGGCTTTGTCAGACTTTTTTAATTTGACTTCCGAAAAAATTCTTATACAAACCTTTAACCTATACAAACGCTATTGCTATTGAAGTAATATTTATTGTATCTTATAATATTAAATGAGCAATTCTTGTATATCTCGGAAACGGCTCTAACGATTTGGATCTGTATTTACTGTTTGCTTTTTATGTTTATTTATTTAAAGAAATAAATATGCATGAGTAAAGTTGTTTTGTCACAAGCAAAGAGATAAGACGGTAAAATTCGAAGTTGGATCACACCGCAGGCGATATAGTAAAAGCCACCGTAGACTATAGACTTTTTATCGTCAGTTAGTTATCGCGTTAGTTTAGTCGGACTCGTAATAAGTTTGAAGACGAAGTTTAAAACTTTTTTATCGATAAAAAATCGTTATAATGTTCATACATCCGTACATATCTATAATATATACAGATAATGAGTATAAACTACAAGCCGACAGAAAGTCCAAAGTGTGCGTTTAGAAATAAAAATATTGGCTTCCCGGATATAACCATTGTGACGCTTGTCGAAATACTTTAGCTATTAATGTTTTCATGAAGTTTTGATAGAAAGTATTGTATATGTACCTACATAAAATACTATTGTTGGCGCTTATTAAGTATACGTAATCGATAATATTTTGATACGTAAACGATATCCGAATCAATCCTCATTCCTTTTATCTCTTAATTAAATACGACACTATTTTTCAATAATTATGTTTACATGAAACTTTTCTAGTCATCATATCTATTAATATATTGTTATTTATTGCAATTTTATCTAACAATCGATTAAAATGAATTACATTTTCCTTTAAATAAAACTAAAATAATCTTTTCGGATCTTGTCGCAGATTTATTTAGATTTTTGGTTTCCGACGTTTCGAATGCTTATTTTATATATTATATATAATAGTTATTTTATATATAATAGTTTATAGCAATCATGGTCACGGGAGAATACAAAAATCAGAAAAGATAGTTTTATTTAAAACTAGCGACTGACCCTCGCTCTGCTCAAGTTCGTCCCTAGTTTTAACGTCTAGTATAGATTTCTTAGAGATAAGATATTTTCCCGCAGTAAAAAGTATCTTATATGTTGACCAGGATAACCAGCTATCATCATACCAAATTTCATCAAAATCTGTTCAGTGTTTTTTTCATGATGCGGTCACAGACATACAGACAGACAAAAATTCTAAAAACAATGGATTCGGCCTCTGTATCGATAATAATGATTATTTCAATAAAATTTTCCAAAAAATATTTAATGTATAGATTCGACATCGGCTTTGTTTGAATTTTATTATATGTACCTACAGATGTCAAATATTCACGTAAATCTAAAAAAGTGTAACATTTTCTTTCAAGTGCATATTTGATCTTTTAATGCAGTGGCTGTCTCAATTTTACTAGAGAACGCGATAAACTACCAAACGGATTTTCATACGGTTTTATAAGTGATTCATGAGAAAGCTCTAGGTGTATAATTCATTAAGGTTTTATGTAAATTGAAAGAAATATGACGAACATTGTTGAAGAATTCGTAAAAAATATGCCGACTGGGACTGTCTTTACTGCCGCGCTGCGTACGCCAATAAAGGTATATGAAAACAATGTATTACAAAATTATTCCTCTTAAAAAGATACATATATGTATTACCCTGTAGCAAACTCTATATACATAGCGTAAAATTATAATTGGTATGTATGTATATATATATATGTTTATTATATATTATATACGTATATATATATATATATATACATAATACCAAATTAATAATTAAAAATTATTATATTATAGATACCAAAGTAGCTTATTATCACTCACCTATCATGCTGTATAAGTGCTATTGAACTAGCGACGAGATCGTCAAACTGTTTTTCACTGGCCGAGCTCCCTTGTCTTTTGTGGTGATGAGGAGTGTTCGCGGCTGACGAAGCTGGAGTCAATGTTTTCTGAACTTCAGTCGACAAACTCTTAGTTAAATTCCCATTGGATTTACTGCCGAATAACCGCCAAGTCGAACCTGGTGTTGTCTCTTGGGTTTTGGTTGAGGAACTGCTTTTCCATGGAAAGACGCCTCTGTAACAAATAAAAATATGGTTAAACCCAGCTTACCATAAAAAGATTATACCTAAAGATAAAAATCGCCCACTGACGTACAATATAACATTAATTACGTATACTTTTTGCGATAAAATTACTTCGGTATTGGTTATTATCTATAGTTTTAAGTTTATTTAAAATTTTAAACAGCTGTTTCACACTATCGTATTGTGCCATAGTTACCTATCAATCACCATGTCTCCACTAGAGTCTACACCACACAGAAGTGTGTCCGGAATGTCATTATGTGATAATTTGCTCTCGCGTCTGACGTGGGCGGTGAGTTGATAATGACTTCCATGCGAATTTAAATTTATTACTAAATATGAATTTAGATAACGATTTATATTTTATAGTGCACTTATTATATGATATATGATCTTTATTTGTGTACATTATGATAAAAATTTTGTATACTTAATCTTTACTATTACAAAAAAATGCTTATTTGTTTGTGTGTTCTCGATAATTATAATAGGAGCACATATATACAATATATAAACAGAATATATAGCTATTTTTATTGGTTTTTATCAACGCAAGTTCAGAATGGTTTTGTGAGATAAAACCTGTTGCGTTTTTATATAAAAATAATAATATCTGTATAGATATTATCTGTATAGACAGATAAATAAAATTAAAGTGTCTATTTGTAATTTTGAAATAATAGCTTTTTACTAAAAACATATGAAAGTATATACGGTACTTATAAGAAAATACAATTTTTAAAATTTTGTCAGTCTGTTCCGTCTAATCTCCGAAACGGCTGGACCGATTTTGACGGGACTTTCACTGGCAGACAGCTGATTTAACTTAGGCAACTTTTATTTTAGAAAAAGAATTAGGGTCCCGCTTTATTTTTTTTTTTCGTCCTAGAGACGCATTCGCGGGAAGCGAGGGCAAGTCGCTATTTTTTATATAAAAACTCAAGAGTGTAAGTGTAAATAAAAAAAAATTTATTGAATATTTACAACACCAAATTAGAGAAAGTTATCTATCCTCTAGAGCTAAAGGAATAATAATAATACACGTCACTTACATAAACGAGAAATCCATATTTTCTTTTAACGTTTACATAATAACAAACAGAATAGGTGAATATACAAGTTCTGCCTAAGAACTAATCAATACAACTAGTAATATACAATATCTTTATACGTTAAAAAAACACTACTGATATGCCCTCACTCTCTCAAATCTAGTCCTTATTTTAAGCTCCAGCCTAATAACGGATTGACGTTTAATGATACCTACATATATAATCAAATTCTAAAAGAGTCGAATCTGTACATTAAATATTTTTTGTGCAAATCTTATTGAAATAGTCATTATAATCGATACACAGAGGCCGAAACTATAGTTTTTAGAATTTTTATCTGTCTGTCTGTCTGTCTGTCTGTGACGTATCACGAAAAACCCACTGGACAGATTTTGCTAGCTGGTTATTCGGATCAATATATAGGATACTTTTTACTGCAGGAAAATATCTCATCTCTGAGAAATCTATACTATTAATTAAAACGACGACTAGGGACGAACCCGAGCTGAAGGTCCCTCGGGTGAGTCGCTAGGTTTTTATATAGGTATAGTTTTAAAGTGTACAGTGACATCGACTACCCAGTACCTAACTTTACATAGGTACCTACATCAATGGTTTCCGTTTCATGTTAACACGGATTTTAGTAACCATTGTAACACAATGGTATTTTAGTTAGTGGAATAGTGTAGATACTGCAATTAACAGGAAGCAATTACAAGTCAAGCTCGAAGAGTTCCACCTTCTGGCTCCATCATTAGACCAGCTCGAATGTATCAAATTATCGTACCGACTGATAATAAAATAATACCGGAAATACGACACTTAGGAGTATGTTAAAATTTCAGTAAGATTTTTTATTTTATAGTTAGTTTCAACTAATATAAATCATAAACGTATTTACTGAATAATACATATATAATACGTACGTACGATGTATTTACCGAATAATAAATATATAATATATCTGTGAAGAACCGCGATACCTACGTCAATGCACACGACCTTCTTACAATTTACGCAGAACATATTGATAAATATTGACTTTGTGATACATACAGAGGAATATAATACGTATTACTATGGGGATAACAATGATTACAATGTAAAATAAAGTAAATCAATAAATAACTAGCGCAGATCGTGCCTTTTAACAACAACAATGGCAACTGTAATTACTAAAACACTAATATGATCGCGATGGGTTTCAATAGGGCAGAACCGTGAAGAAAACAAAATTAAAAGAAAAAATTAATCTGTGACAGACGAATAGACAGACATATACCATAATATATGGTTTATATAAGAAACTGTAAAAATGAAGCTAGTGATGGCTTATAAACACTTAAGCAATAAACGTCGCAGTTTTCATTCATAACATAGTTATTTCTCAACAAGTTACTTTACCGCAACATAACATTTTATAATTTCCATCTCTTTTACTCAGTAAAGCTACTATGAATGTAGCCTAGTTTCAATTTTATAAATATTTAGTACTTTTAAGTTTTAACCATTTTTAAAAATATTTTCTCTACTACCACAAAAGCTTTTAACGATATTCCATAAAAATTTTGAATTTTTCAATTAACTTGCAAAATTAGTATGTATCAAATCGATTTATTTTAGAAAGCATATTTTAACTGAAACATTTGTTATCATAGTAGCAATAATTTTAATTGCAAAAAATCTGTATAGGAAGACGTAGAAAAACTAATGGAAAGTCCCGCTGTGTTACCAAATTATCGTTCAACAGTATTACACTTAATTAATCCACACAAATTACCTTCAAAAGTATAATAATTCTTCTAGTAGGAAATACGAAACATAACTTCTAATAAAAATAAGGTTAGATCTAATGAAGTCGGCCAAAAAGCAAAGAAGCAAATTGATAAAAAAATATATTACTCATCCTAGAAACATTTAAAAATAATACCAGATCAAAAAAATTACACTTTCATGATAAAGCTATGGCAGCCCCATGTTTTTGAATAATGAGATGAATTAAACTAAAAATTCTATCTCTTTCACGTATTCGAAAATATGCAGAGTAGAAGGAGAAGACAAATCAGAGCAGTAATTAAAGACATCCGCAGGTAATTAAGTGCACACGTGCATCGGAAATTATGAGTCCGCTTGAATCATGATGATATATTTATAGTCATCTATGGGAAGACTGATGAATAGATCCATATTTTTTTCTATTAATTAGCATTGGTCGTAATAAAAACTAAGAAACGTAGCCTACGAGTTAGTTGGTAACGATTTATTTAAAAAGAATAACGCCCGATTTCACCAACGTCACCTAAGTTTAAGGGATCCCCTAAGCATGGTTAGGTGGCTGTTAGGGGACCGTTTCTGTTTCACCGACAGTTAGGGGTCACCTAAATGTTAAAAGGCCTTCTAAATTTAGGTGCTCGAAATATGGGCTTAAAGACGATGGTAAAACGAAGTTTAATTTAGGGGCTAGTTTAGGAGAATTTTAAGTTAGGGATCCCATACGTAGGTGGTAGCTTATGGGTTGTTGGTGAAATCGGGCATAAGAGATTGAAAAACACTTTTTCTAAGGATGAACTTCGTTTTAATAATGTAGATATAGATAAGTAAATATCTTAAAAAATAAAATGTTCCTCAGATTGCCAACAAGAATTTAATAAGCAATCAATATTATATTTCATGAAATATACTTAATTTCAAAATATTCAGGTTAAATAAAAAACGTATTCACGTAGCGTGTCAAATGGCATATCATTTCAACAGTGTACCTACCATTTTAAAACAACAATAACTACCTATTTGTTTTTAAATGTAATGTTATCATTTTCTAGATACACGCATCATATCACGGATTCCACGAAGCAGATCTTACTTTGAATATCTCGGTATATACTCGTAGGTATATAAAACAAATTCGGGTTTGTTATAACACATATAACTCGAGAACGGCTAGACCGATTTTTATGATTTTTGTTTTGTTGGATTTGTCTACATCCCGAATAGCAGAATAACTATTAAAGCATCGGAAGAATTCACGAAAATAAATGTATGTGGCTAACGCTGACTAATAACTATTTATATCTATTTAAAACGTACCTAAGGACGAACTCGACCGAAGCGAGAGGGAGCTGCTAGTTTCTACTAAAACAACTGTTTTGAAAGTTCGTCATTCACATATATATGCATGTGTACACTGTACATGTATAGCATTACGATTGGCACATTTTAAATAAAACTATCTTTTCGGATTATTTCGCGGATTTATTATAAATCCGCGAAATAATCCGAAAAGATAGTTTTATTTAATAATGTCAAACATTCGCGTAAATCTAAGAAAGTATTATTGGCACATTTTTTATTGCGCGTTGACAAACGGAAGTAATCCGACGTTATTTGCAATGTCATATTAGAATGTAATACTTTAGTTTGTTGCAATTATGCAAATATACTTATTATATTAATTTACTTTAAACTCCCTCACTATTTACGTAGGTAATAAGAAGAAATTGACCTTTTCAAATTCAAGTAATGGCTACAGCAAATTATTCTCTTTGATCAATTTTGTTTGTTTTTATAGTGCATATAGATTTACTTTTGTATTGAAACAAATTGCTTTGTTCTTACTTCTTAGGGTACATCTACTAAAGCCCTAGCAATTTGTCGTAATAATCATGAATGAATATAAATAACGGAATAGCGAATACAATATTAAAAAAAAACAAATAAGAGTAATAAGCTGTATAATAAGCGCACGTAGCCATAATATCATCTTGATTAAAAAAAAAACATAAAGCTTTGTGTACGTCTGTCACTGTCAGATAAAAGTAAATGCGACGTAACAAAAACACGCGCCGTGCCGGCCCGCGCTTGGTACGGACGCGGACGACCTGTTGGCTTATAACGAATATGTTATGTTGAATATTAAATATGGAGTTGGATTAAATTTTTGTTTTGAATTTAAAAAAGCAACTATTACGGAAAAATGATGATAATGAATTTTAGATGTTATATGATTTAGAATTATATAATAAATTCTGTAGTTTATTCGAAACATTAAGTAATATTTTTATAAAGTAAAGACATTTTTTCTAAGATAGTTTTAAATATTGGCTTCAGTGTTAACTATCGGGGAAATAATTATATTTATTTCATAATGTCCACAAAATA